ATTACATTTTTTTTCTATCCCTTTTATTTTCTTTACTGGTGTTTGAAATTATAGCCCTCAATGTTGAGATCACTAGGCAATGATCTGAGTCTATGTTTGCGCCTCTATAACTTCTGCAGTTTATTACGTCTGTTTCATACCTTAAATCTATTAAGATGTGATCAATCTGGCTCGTTGTTCTTCCATCAGGAGAGGTCCAGGTTATCTTGTGTATGTTCTTGTGGTCAAAATTGGTGCTAGCTACTGTCATATTTAGTGCTGCAGCTAAGTTATAGCCAAAATAACATTCTTCAAAATCACAGCATTATTTTGCAATAAAGACCTTAGTCGCATACAATGCCACATACTGTCTACTAACACTGTTGTAAAGGCAAGAACCATATCACATTTGTATCCTTTTGAGATGTGGTTATCCCGGCATTTTGAGATCTTGTTGTGAAAATTCCATAGTACCAAATGATAGAGCGTTGGAAATAATCAATAAAAGTAAGGAATTATTTACAATATTTAAGCAAAGAAATGCAATTTTCTCTATTTTAGAAAGGATATTTAAGGCCATATCTAGAAACGATAAGTATGTTTTTCTATAGGAGATCGTCGAAAGAAAGATTAAAGGAAGACGAGGCATCGGACGAAAGAAGTTCTGTTGACTGCAAAATTTACGCCAATGATTCGACACTAGGAAGACCAGCACAATTATATGATTAGCACAAGATAAAAAAGAAATCCAGTTAATGTTCGAAAACCTCTGATGATTAGAGAGCACATTAATAAAAAGTCGTAGTTTATGTTCATGTCAGCAGGTCATAATATCTGCAATATTCTGACAGTTGTTAGTTGTTCTAAGTGCTGCAGATATTATTTTTTCTTAAGAAAAGAACTCTCTGATTCTGATAGATTGTTACATTCAACATGAACGTTTTGTAATTATGTGTGATTTTTTTGGATTTATAAGTAGGCTAAACCTTCTAGTTAAAGTGCACGTCAGTAAAAAACATTATGACAGATACTCTCTCCAAACTTTGAGTATCGATTTATTAAACCGAGTCTGATACGATTGCCTTCTGCGACTTTTTGATTCTGGTGCGTTTTCCCCTAATTTTCACAAAACGTTTTACCCTTCAGACAGGAAAATCGAAAACAAGTTCCGTTAGACAATATGAAAAGTTGTAATTGTTACTTTAAATGAAAAAATCTTAAAAAAATTAGCTAGTATCTATGAATTTCGTAACAGTAGTTTTTTCGAGGCATTGAATCATGAGATTCTTTTATTTATTTTAAACTTTTATTTTCACTTTTTTCTTATAATTTTTAAGCTATTTAATGGAAAGAATATATTGTCAAAGGCTTTGTCGCCAAAGATTTGTTTAAAAATTAAAATAATATATTATACTTGTTAACAAAATACAAAGTATGTTTTAACTGGTAGTAAACATCAGATGAAATATACACCAGACAAGATTAATGATTTACCTATACTAGCGAGATAAACAACGTATAGACAAAACATTCTAAAATTATACGTCTGAGATATTCTCATGTGATGTAATTTTAAAGACTTTTAACATTTGGTTAATGCAATAATAATAAAATTAAAGTTAAACTAGTATTTTGGTTAAATCTTTATACAAATTAAATTTTTTTGTTTATAAATAAATATAATTTAAAATGCAAATGGAAGACAGTCTTTCACAAATTTTGTTAAGCTGTACTTAGTTGTTTTTTGGTCAGTATAAACTAATAGGATATAATAGCAACACTATTTAAGTATTTTTTCTTTTGCCTTATCCATTGAGGACGTCAGCTATTAACATGGCAATGCGTATCTTGTTGGCAACTTGTCAAAATAGTTTTAAGAGTCAGGCCAAACCGCTTGCGTAGGTTTTGCATTCAAGAGTTTCTTGAATGCAAAAGTTCCTCTCTTCCATCCATTTTTCCCTGGAATTCCCTGGAGGCGGTATTTACTGTGTCTCTTAACATGAGCGAAATATTCTAGTTTTCTTTTCTCACAATAAACCCAATTTCCCGGTTATTCATTTTTGCCAGTACTTCCCCGTTTGTTATTATGGTCTGTGATGTTTAATAAATTACTAGACATATGAAAAAATAAAAATTATATTCCTAATACACTGATATATTTTTTAACACTTCCCTTGTCACTAAAAACTTTGAAGGGCACATTAAGAAAATTTCAGCTCATGTTAATTTTATTTAGCAGAAAACAAAAATAATGAGAAACAAAGTGACTCACAGTGAATTATGATTAGATAAAATATTATGTTTTGGCAATACACTTTGATTGCAGTCTATACATAGATCTATTTAATGACGAATGAATGAATAAACTGCTTTCCAGAGCTTCCATCTAAAGTTGTCATAGGAAACCATGGAATTGAGAGACACTATGTCAATTTGAGAGTTTCATCATCTTGATAACAAGAGATAAAAAAGAAATTAAGAAAACCATCATAGTTTACACAAAAACTTTTAACTCCTCTCCTTTTACTTCTGGAATAAAATTGTTCGCCCACTAGATTACCAAATTCTTTAGCTCGAGATGGTTTCTCTACAATGAAAAGGAGAGTCTGACTTCCAAGGCAATCTAAACGAAAGTGAAGTAAAGTGTTCCAAGCTGCGTTGCTAAATATTCTAGCCTTGGATCTTAAGTGTGATCGACATGAAATTTTTTTAGAATTTATGCGGAATTAAGAGAGAGAAAAGCGTAAAAAAGAAGGATCTATCTCAATAGTAATTTAGCTAATATAAAATTAAGATTATGGGTAATATCTTCGAAGATTTTAAGACGCAATTTCTTCAAAGTATTAAATAAAGATTATGAAATTTATATGATATAGAGTGTGGATGGTGTAGCAAAAAAATGCTACAATATAAATACAAACCAAAACAAAATCTTTGTTAATGTTTAATAGGGATATCTTAATTAACATATTAGTAAATAACACACTAATCGAACAAGTTGAAAAGTTTAAATGTGAACTATCTGGTACATAACACCCTAGATCTAGAAAAATAAACCAGATTTCGAATACAACAAGCCAACATTTAAAGTTAATCTAAGCATGTGTTTCGGTTAGTGTGCATAAATCAAGATACCTAGACCAACCTAAGGTTTTGGGATAAAGTCACATTTCATCAATGGTTCATTAAGCGACAAACAATCTGATTTCTTGGATTTAAATATTACGATGTCATTGGATGATATACATATTAGTGGGATTATTAATCTTTATTATGTTCAGGATAATATAATCCTCCTCTTATTATCCAACCGACTAGATAAAACAGTGTGCAAAGCTTTTAACTTGCAAAAGAACGTTGGGACGTTTGTTGGTTCACACACAATAAAGTAAATCTCAGCTCCAGGGAGCATGAGATTCCCGTAGTAGGGTGAAAACATGTCTGAAGATCAAAGAGGTTATGCCTCGTGGAAATGGTACCTCTCTGAAACTCAAGCTATCTTCACCCCTCCCAAATCGCAGACATAAAATTGAAGATGCTTTACATGTTTTTGATCTTGGATGTTCTGGAAAATAGGACATTCGAGAGGTCTTTCTGCGGCGATGCCGTTTTAGGTACCTTTATGTGGCGTTATGTGCCTTTCTCGCATGGCCCCATTTCTCAGGAATCGCGGTTGTTCTGTCTGAGATACCTATGGAAAAAATTGCTGTCCTCTTTTGAATAACCCAAAACTGTTTCTTCTTGGAAAATACTTGTGTACGTTAGGTCGGTACTGCCAGGATTTCCGGCAGAAGACTATAATAAGCAAAGTAATACAATATTTCTGATCTTTTTTATGTAGTTTTCTTTGGATAAAGTGTCGTTCGTTTTTATTGCCTTAAAATTATCTGTCGTTTTTTTTTTAATTTATTTATTTATAAAACTAAATATTTTGAACAAATCTCTCCACATTCGTTTTTTTTACGATGCTGCAGTTTCACTTGAAAAACAATTTCATAACGCATTTTGTTCTAAATTTGCAATAACACGTTCTGAAATGTCGTGAATAAGTTAGAAGTTACCCAACGGATTTGGAAATTATGCATAATTATTCGACAAAATTCATGTTCTTACTAAATTATTGAAAAGAAGAGATCTTTAACTTCACTAAATGCATAGTGTTTAAGTAACTAGCAATGTTTTTAATAGTAAGTAGGGAATTTTATGGTTATATGGCGATTTTCTTCATATCTGGTAATTTTATCTAGCATGCATATGCCTAATTTAATACTAATAGCTTCAAAAAGGAATGTAATAGTATATTACAAAGGAGGATGGTCAATAACCTATAACGCAATTTTACAACCATAAGCGAATTAAGTAAACTCAAACTTTTGTCGTAATGCGTAACAGAGTTGTGTATCGTACCCTTTGTGCAAAATATTTATGAGTACATAAAAATATAAAAATATTTAAATACTTTAAAATATTTTAACTCACCACTTTGTTTGGTGCCAAAATATCCTTCTTATAATCTCAAACCTAGCTTAATTATTATGTTCAGTATGCTGTAGTAATATCATGGAGAAAAAAATTGTCACCTGTTATTTTCGTTAACGTAACGGTGGGAAATATGCATTCCAGGGAGCAACTACCATTTGTATTAAGTTATTAATTTGTATTGTTATTAATTTGTTACATCGCATGTACTATTTACTTACAGTTTTTAATAGATTAGATGTTCTCGCTTATTTATGTCCCCATGTTTTATACAGGAGTGGAATTAATAATTACAAATGTTACAGAAAATTATTATTAAAATCAGTTCTTGTATTTTGATTGTCAGGCCTCGGCATAATATAAGGTGATTGATGATGGATGAATGATCACATAAATATATGCAATAGTCATAATGAAATAATTTTTTAATCAGGAAACCGCCCTCACATAAGAACAAAACAAAAGAAAATATGATCAGTCATATAAAATTATTTTGAGAAGGAAATTGACAACTTGTTATAATATTCGTATTTATGTTTCAGATGAGGATAGCCTGTTTAGTAATAGCGGCATGTGCTTGCGCGTGCGTAGTAGCAGAACCAGCAATAAATGAAGTTAGGCCAGTATCAAATCGACCGGGAAGATTCCTCTCACTGCCAAATCCACAAAAATGTGCAAATAGTAAGTAAACTTTTATATTTTGCGGTGCGGTTTATATATATACAAAAAAAATAAGTACAATTAAACCTAAAACTAAGATTATTACGATTACAAAAATTAATATTAAACTACCCGGGTTGAACCGCGTCGATTTTTACTGCGCCGAGCTTTCGACATCATTTCTGCTATCTTCTTCATGGCTTTCGGAGAATCAGTCTCCTGAGCCCTCAGACACTACACAGTTCACTTTTCACTGCAACACTGTGGTGCACTAGTGAACCACTAAGTAGTTGATCAATATCTATATTTTCTTCTCATTACAAATATTGATTTATCAGTATATGCATTTTTACTACTAGCTTTTTGCCACCAACTTGCTTGTCTCCGAGGAAAGGATGTCTAATTCGTAGTTTTGTTATTTCCACTATCCATCAGTATATTTTAAACGCATTTTTTTGAAGCCAGGCTTCTATACTGGCATTGCATTACTTTTTTCTCTACAGTAAAAGACTGCGTCACGGAACTAACGCCGAGAGGAGAGGGCGTCACAGATAGCGTCGAAAAATAGCGGTTCTATTAAACATCACGCTGTAACCTTACATGGCAATGATATTCCAATTGTTTTAGAGTTTAGATATCTTGGTGTCGTACTTGACAAAAAACTGCTTTGAACACAACATATTAATTATACAATTGGTCGCTGAGAAAAAGGTAATAATTTTCTTAAAATGGTATGTAAGAGATCGTGGGGTGCAGATCAAAACATTACATTGAATTTTTATCGAGCCTATATAAGATCTATAATAGATTACTGTTGTGTGGTATATGGGTCAGCTAGCATAACCAATTTACGTAAACTTGATAGAATTCAATTTAAAGCTCTAAGGATTGTGTTAGGATTGATGAAAAGCACTCCAAATGAAGCCACCCTAGCTCTAGCATCTGAAAACCCACTCTCATTGCGCAGAGAATATCTGGCAAGCAAATATTTCCTAAATCAACATTATCGTGGCACTTATAATACAAAAATAATTAATGAATTAAATACAGCTGATTTAACATTTACATACTTCGTTAAAAAAAACTCTCCACCACTTGCAAGAGCAATTATAACTTGCAACGAACTGAAGTTAATAAATTCCCCTTGTAATCTTATCTGGGAATCGTTGGGTATACCACATCTAACAAGTGTTCTAGCTACAAATATTATTATCCCTAAATACCAAAACGAATTTTGCTACACTACTCTTAAAGAAATCTTAAGTGGCTATTCAGATCATATTGTGATCTATACAGATGGGTCAAAATCACCAACATGTACAACCAGTGCTTACTTTGTACCAAAAATGAATATTAAATACTATATTACTTATATACTTAAGTGCTATATACTTAAGTGCTATATACAAAGCCCTTGAATTGTGCTGTGAAAACCAGTGGAACAAAATTGTCATATGCAGTGATTCACTGTCAGTATTACACTCCTTAGAAAACTTTAAATTCACAATCAATAGCAATATATTCATATTATAAATATTTCAACAGTTACTAAAACTATCAGATCCATATGGTACTAAATTTCTATGGATTAAGGGACACTCAGATATTTTTGGCAATACTATTGCTGATTCTATAGCTAAAAATCCCACATATGGTGTGTTTGGTGAAAGCAGGGGCACTTATTTATACAAATTACAACCCACAGTAGATGCAAAACAATTTTAAAAAGATGTTACACTAAGCAGAAACACAGTGTCAACTGTCTTAAGATTAAAAGTCGATCATAGATGTTTTCCAAAACATCTACACAAAATAGGGGTTCTCCCAACAGACCGATGTGAGTGTGAAACTAGTATAGCTGATTTAAATCACATATTCTTCAACTGCCCACTACATCGTAATACAAGCACGTGGCTGATAAAAGAATTGATAAAAGAGAGACTAAATACACCATTAAACGTAAATCTTCTACTAAGTGAAGACAATATAAAAATCTTTAAACTAATTATGATATTTCTTGTAAAAATCAAATTAAAGGTATGAGTGTAAAATTGATCGTGTGTTTGAACATTTCCTTTGTATGCTTACCATATATGTTGCCCACCTACCTAACGGTGGTTTATGTCTTGTTTGTTACAATAAAGCCGCTCTGATGAATCCCTGAGCGTGAAAAGTGTCCTCCTTGTATAATCCTGTATGAATGAATACTAATATTTATATGTAATTACGTGGCTAAAGGTTTCAAGCCAAAGCCAAACCAAAAAAAAAATAGAAATATTGAATTTGACAGGTCTGTCAAAAGTAAACACTGTTAGCGGTGGCGTTAAGAGCATTTCATCGAGCAAAAAGACAAAAGAGGGAATCTATTCGTTGTAAAAAGAAGACCAAAATTCATAAAAGTGACCTCTTAATATGGCGGACATATCAGGAAATGAAAAGACGCCAAATTTAAGACTATGTTCCAATATTATTATAAGCACTATGTTCCAAACACTTAAAATACTTTTTTTAACACTAGAGCATAATAAAGTTTTATTTAAATAACAATAATAGTCTAAAATGTGACACAATTGTTAAAAAACTTCAATATAAATAAGCTTTCATGTGACAGTTGGGACAAACAATAACATAACCCAACTAAATTTGATTTCTTAAACAAGGAAAGAGACTCTCTTTCCTTGTTTAATGTGGCCTCTCAAAATGGCACTTCCTGTCTGACAACATTTTTGCCCCCACTACCTTTACATTCCCCATCGAGCAAAAAGACAAAAGAGGGAATCTAATCCTTATGAAAAGGAGACCAAAAAAGTGGCCTCTGATGGCGGACATATCCGGAAATGCGAATGCGCCAAATTTAAATTTTCCGACACTTATTAACAGTAGCTATATAATATTTTTCAGAATGTATCTTAGACGAGAAAGTTTTAATTAATTATTAACGATAGTAGTCTAAAATGCGACACAATTGTTAAAAAAAACTTCAATATAAATAAGATTTCATGTGACATCTGAGACAAACAATAACATAACCCAACTAAATTTGATGCCAAACAAGGAGAGAGACTCTCTGTCCTTGTTTAATGTGGCCTCTAAAGATCGCACTTCCTGTCTAACAATATTTTTGCCCCCACTACCTTTATATTCCCTCTTTGGTCTTTTTGCTCGATGACATTCCCTCATCTTTTTGCTTGATGGAGCATTCATAATAATTTATTGAAATATTTTAATATATATACTATAATTTGTTAAAACTATTAATAATTAGATAAATAATAAATTTACTTTATTTAATTTTAAATAAAGGTATTAATTAAAGTATAAGTGGATATTGAGGTCTTGCGAGTGAGGAAAACACGCGCGAAATAAAGCAAGTTTTTAAAGATCAGTTATCCACGAATACTTTACGCTATTTTTTTATTGGTACACTTCAAAATCATGCATTATTACTACAAAAAATTAAAATACCTTTCGTTATTTTGGAAATGAGAAAAACAAAAATTAATTTGCAATCTGTAACATCAGATTAATTGTTATTACTGGTTGTATATTGCTTAAAAGAAGAATGAAAAGAATGTTTCAAACCATAATACTATGAGTATGACAAGAAGATTAGATATTGCGCATAAGTCGTGACGTCATTGGAGAGTTACACGTTCGAAATGTCATTTTTTGTATGTATCAACAAAATCTTTAATAAATAGTTTGGAGATATCCTTATGTGTACGATTATTGTAATTCTTAAACCTTTTAACTTATTTTCATCTAGTAATTTCATCAGAGAATGAATACAAATCCCATTTAACTTTAACAAGAATTCAAATTCTACTCTCCAATGACGGCATGCGCGAACACGACCGATTTTGTGCTACGGGAAGATCATCGAGCAAAAAGACAAAAGAGGGAATTTAATCCTTATGAAAAGGAGACCAAAAAAGTGGCCTCTGATGGCGGACATATCCGGAAATGCGAATGCACGAAATTTAAATTTTCCGACACTTGTCAACAGTAGCTATATAATATTTTTCAGAATGTGTCTTAGACGAGAAAGTTTTAATTAATTATTAATGATAAGAGTCTAAAATGCGACACAATTGTTAAAAAACTTTAATATAAATAAGATTTCATGTGACATTTGGGACAAACAATAACATAACCCAACTAAATTTGATGTAAAACAAGGAGAAATACTCTCTTTCCTTGTTTAATGTGGCCTCTGGGGAATATCCTATTAGTATTAACATTTCAAACAATACCAACCACAAATACCAACTGTACTTTTTACATTCATCTAAAAGATTTCCAAATATTTGAATAAAGCTTCAGGTCAGATAAATATTTAAAACTCTTGATGTTGTCATGCTAACTTTAAAATACCCGCGTTTTTGAAAGTTGAAAATTTAAAAATTTAAAAATTTTAACACGCTACCACGTACTTTAAATAAGCAAAATGGGGTACCAATAAAAAAATATTATGTATTTAAATTTTAAAAATACAAAAAACATTTTATGAAGCTTCGCGCTAGTCTCTACGGACTACTGTATTATCTTTTTTTTTAATTCTATTATATTATTGTTGACTATAAACTAGATCTATCACGTGATTAACCTAACTGGTTTTATTGCAGTATATTTTTAATATTGGGCAAACTGCGATTTCAAAATACATGGCTAATTAAAGTGAACTTTAAGACTACATACGATAATATACTAAGTACATTTTTTAGTCGTGCATTGTACGTGTAGTAATCGAGGGCAGATAGTAGATATATGAACATGGTTTTAGTCTTGTTCGGTTGATAAACTCTTTTAGTTGACTATAATTAAATGTATCTTGCAATAAAATTAAATTTTTGTACTTCGCAATCTTTGAAAATTGTATGGAGTATAAATTTCATAAGAAAAGTGCGATGCAGATAGGATCTTCGATAAAAAAATATGAACGTATATGAAATATTTAGTTGGTTATATATAAGGAAAATCAAAATGCTAGAAAATTAATCTACCTAAATTTACGAGACTAA